AGTGCGTGAGTGAGAGCGTGAGCGTGAGGATGGCGCCGGGCCGGCCTGCGTGGCCACGGAGGGCGGCATCTGGGTTCTTGGCAGCGTAGCCTGCTGTATCTGCCGATTATTTAAGTTTTGTTTTTCTTCGTACTGTATTATTGTGAGAATATCACCGGCTGGCTCCTTTGGAGCTCTGTATGGACTGGTTTTGAGTCTGCACCTCCCCCCGCCCCTTCCTCGCCCTCCTCCCCGCCCGAGCCCGGCCTCTCCGGCCGCCCAGACCAGTGCGGCCAGGCTCTTTGGTGCGGCCCGTGGAGGCTCCGAGGAACATTTTGTAAATGGAATTCTGTTGTGTGGGCGTGTGACTTGATGTTTGTACCGCGATTTTGGTAATGCCAAGCTTTATTAAACATATCGAGTTCATTTTTAACTAAACCCGTGTGCCTTGTCTCTCTTGCTGTGTCTTTACTAGATGTTAGGTGATTCTTTCCTCGTTTTGTTCCCCTCCCCTCCCCCCAGGAGTAGAGACGGGATAACGCAGCCTGCGCTTGCCTCTATTATTCAAATATCCCTGGTAGCTGTTGGCACTCATTTCATTTTCAGGTTCAAAGTCAAGTGCTCTCACCTCCAGCATCATCATTTTTTTAAGTTGCTTGTTTGTCTTTTGTTTTCCTAAAGCTCTGTTCTTACTCACCAGTGGTTAAAAAATGTCATTACAAACATTCGTCTTATAACACACGTTTCTGCTTTGAAGGGCATGTGGGCAGGGCAGGGTCAGGAGCGTTTGATGTCCTGGCTTTTGTCGGTGAAGTTGGAGGCGGCTTCGTTGCCATGTCGAGGGCCCGAGCCGGGGGGGGCTGTGTGGGAGAGGCCGGCCTGGTCCCAGGCCCCTGAGGACGTGCTGGCCCTGACTTTTCTAGTGTCAGATTGTCTTCGGGGTTAGAAATGTCTGAGCCCTCAGGCCCTTCAATCAGAAATGTTCAAAGAAGGGGCAGCAAGTGAATCCTTGCACGTCAGGGACAGCCCTGGCTTTAGGATTTTTCTCTCATTTTTTCTAACCCTGGTTTTAGGACTGGCTTCAGGGTGGATGCCCTCGAGAGCCAGGTCATGGGGTTCCCCCAAGGCCCTGGGTTGCAGCACCTGGGTGTCAGCTGCTCCCTGAGTACAAGGCCTGGGGGTGCCACGCAACCCCCTTGACTGGGCTTGGTCCAGGGACCAGAACACTGGCCCATTTTCCAGCCCTGCCCGCGAACTCCTGGCTACCCGCTCCCCGCCCAGACCCCCCCCCCCCAAATTGGCAGAGATGGATTTTGGGTTACCAGGAGATGGCATGAATGCAACCTGGGCTGAGAAGAGAGGCCACTGACTGACCAGGCGCCTCGTTTTCCAAGGCCTCCCCCTGCCCGGGTCTCCAAAGGACGAGTCGGGCTGGTGTTCCATTTCCCTCACCCTCCTTGACCTCCTGCCTCTCCCCGACCTCGGCTGGACCCCCGTAGCCCCTCCTCCACAGACCCTAAAGCCAGGGTTCCCGCCTCCAAGTTTTTGAGCCCTTCTGCTCCAGCCCAGACCCCACAGAGAAGCAGGCAGCCCCCCAGACCTCTCTGGAAGGGGCCACAGCCCCGAGCGGGCACTCAGAGCTGGGTGCCACGGCGCCAGCGGACAGAGTCCAGACAGGGGAGTGGGGGCGAGGGGAGGGGCCCAGGCTCCTCGGCTTCTCCCCCTCCCCTGCAAGCAGACCATTGATCAGGTCTCGAAAGGGATATTTGGGTAATAGGGCCTTACTGACCCTGGTACTAAACTATGTAATTGGCTTGGCTTTTCTGGTGTGTCTGCTTTCTCCCCCAGCAGCCTGACCATACCTTCACCCTTGACCCCTACCCATGACGCTTTGAATGTCTGTTTCGGTCTCTTGCATTTGCTCTCACGCTGCACTCTGGACGCAAAGCGAAGGCTGGGAGTAGGGCAGACGGCGCAGCGGGTCACTGAGCTTGGGTCCGAGCCTGGCTCGTTGCTCCGTAGGTAGGCACAACCCTTTTCTTTCTGTCCTCTGTACACCTCCCCTCCGCGGGGTCTGCCCCCACCGGGTCTGGCAGCAGCAGCTCGCTCTGGCGTTTACTGGGTTTTGGAAAACCCAACCAAGTCGCAACAGCCAACTCCATGTCTTGAGCTGAGATCTTTTTTTTTTTTTTTTTTTTAAA